GAAATCATTATTTATTTGTGAAATATCAGTTTTTTTAATTTCGATTTGCTTAGAAAGAATTAATTATTAATATTTATGTAATACACTTTACATAAATATTAATAACACTTTATACATACATAAAAAGTTAATAGCATACTTTGACAATATTTTAAAGATCTTGAAAACAAATAGTTATTTGTTGTTGAATATACCTAGTCTCTTGCGAATTACATCGCTGGCAAAATGATGTTGCGCTATCATCTCAGAACCAGTATTATCGAGTAGCACGATGGCATTTGAATGAGCGGCAACTTCTGCTTCAAAAGCCTGGTGCTTCTGGATCTTTGCTTGTAGATTGGTTGGGTCTTTGTAACTCTCATCGGAGGCCGCTTGGAGCTTTTCGTAAATCCAACCTTCGAGTTCGTCCGCATCTCGCTTAAAGTACTGAAAGACGTATGCAAGGTAACCGTGAACAACAATAAATTACATAATAGCACTTGAGGAAAAAAGAAGAGCATTCAGATACATACCTGAAAGCGACGGGAGTCCTCGAGTTTGTCCCGTTTGTTGCGCGCCTCCGCCTTGAAGTTGGCATAGCGTCCCAATACTTGTTCTCGCCTCTCCTGAATGTCTTCCGGATTTTCGAGGATCTTCACCTCTTTAGGCGTAATTTGATCCATGGCTAGCTACGATCTTTAAAATAGCTCTCACTAACTATCGTCCAAAATGGCCTCGATGGGGTGTGGCAGTATCACTTTATTGCCGGAATCGATAAACGATGTTTTCTTCAGTGGACAGACACTAGCAAAATTATCGAATGCGTGCGCAACAATATACCGTCGTGTCGTCGATAACGCGGAAACAATTGTCGAGAGATTCCCGAATTTGCTTGCAAACTCGCAAGCTCGCTCAATTTCGTCTGCCACGATTGACGTTCCGATGATTTGACCTCACCATCAGATTCTTTCTGTTCTTGTTCTGCACTCGGCATAATCCTAAGGGGCTTCGCACAATAAAAGGAACAGAGAACAGAGAATAAAAATTTCAACCTATCAGAAATCATGTATTGTAGAATACAAAGTTTCTGATAGGTTGAAATTCTTATTCTTTGTTCTCTGTTCCCTTTATTGTGTGAAGCCCCTAATATTCCCACTATTCTCATTTCCGTGTACCGGTTCCGATGGCACCTCTTGTTGACTGGACGCTTGGTCAAACATTAAATCAATCATAGCAAAGCTAGCAATCCAATCGACTAACTTTGTCGATAAGGTTATATATAACAGTTACATCATTAAGGTACAATTTCAAGCAAGCTTCGCTGGCGAAGACTCTCCACTTTGTTGATTCATGCGAAAATGTAGCTAACGAAGCTTTGCTCAAGTCGTCACATAAGGATGATATCTCGTGCAGCGGATCGTGCGTAAGCAGATTCGCATATCGCCAATCACAGAATCATTCTCTTAGATTTGTTTGCAAATTTCGCAAGATGATTCTGTGATTGGCGATATGCGAATCCTCTTATGCATGAGACATCACCCTAAGGATAAAATCACACGGTGCAGAAAACGACTGCGGAATAGAAAATATGTCATAGAAGCAACCAATTAGCGTTATTCTGCATTATTCTGAATAGCACTAATTGGTTATTTCAATGACGTATTTTCTATTCTACAGTCGTTTTCCGCACCATGTGATTTCACTCTAAGGCATAACCTGCGTAGGAGCTATTCCACACAAATTACATAGCCGCATAAACGTGTGCATAAAGAAAATTATCCAATCATATTTTATGTTTGTCTTTATGACAAAAATGTGATTGGATAATTTTCTTCATACATATGATTATGCGGCTATACAAGTCATGGAATGGTCCTAAAGCCCTGCGCACAATAGGAAATATTAGAAATACGAATAGATATTAAGATTTTAACCTATCAGATACGAGTTACGTTCGGATATTCTTTAAGCGGGGAATACAGCATTCTTGCAAACGCATAACACATAAAGCATAAGAAATTCAACCAATTAAAGTTTTTTATTTCATGGAAAGGAAGGAAACGGAGGATTTTAATGATTTATTTTCTTGCATTACGTGTTATGCATTATGCAAGAGTCTGTGCTTTCCACTTTATAAATTGAGAGCACAGACTTTTACATGATTTATAACACATAAGAAATTCAACCAATTAACAATTTGTACTTATTGTTGCGTAAATTACAACAGAATGTTTTTTGATAATTATAAAAATTCAAGATACTATTGCGAATCATACTAAAAGTTTCTTAGCAGGGTAAATTTTACAAATAAAAATTTACTTATCGACAATGATAATTTCTTTGCTGACTATGATTATCGACAGAGATAATTGCAATTAACATCGATGACTCAGATAATGAAGCGTGCGATATCCCACGATATCCGCTAGCAAAATACTGCTACTGTTACTATAAGTCGGGTGTTACAATGATCCAGTGAATTAATGCACTGCACGTACGTGACAAGTACGATACCAGCACACATAGTATGCCTTACGTTACCGTATCAATATCGTGAAAGTATTTTGCTATCTGGAGATAAAGATCGTCAATCCTGAGCAAATTTTCGGCGGTATAAAAAGGCCCCAAAGATCCGGAGGTAATTGAAGAACGTTGACATTATCGACAATTGATATAAATTTGCTATTATTAACATAAATATTTGGCTCATACATTATTAAATTCATGATTTTTTATTACATAAATGTTCCATAAATAAGTATGCATATTTGTAAAGCTATAATATTCTATATATTGCAAAAAAATTACAATTTTTTTCTCTGCAATTATTATCTCTATTGATAATCAAACTTCGACGATAAACATTATATTACATTACAAACTTCGATAACATTAAAATCACAATTTTAAAGAAAAATTGAGTATTATTGAATTCTAAATGCATAAATACGTCTATTAAACTAATAAATCATAAAATTAGTACAATATTTCAGAAAAATGTAAAAAAAGTCATCAGAGCCTACATCAGTTATTTGGATGTACAGAAAATTCTTTATTTTCGTGAATGTAACGAATAAAATATTCGTTTTGACTCTTCAATTCGGATCCTTATCAATATAAAATATAAATCGAAATTATATAAATAACGCAAATTCAAAGTTGACAATTTAGTTCGTTCTTCTTTATTCAAATGCCAAATTAACTATGTAATGAATAGCTAATTTGACCTCTACCCTATTTACCAAGAGAATTTCGAATTAATAATTAAAATTTTTTTAAACAACGGATATCCACTGAAACTATTCTCTGAAATCAAATAGATTCAAAAAAATTAAACAGAGTCAAAAAAATTTAAACAATGAAAAATTTAAACAATGACCAGGATAACACATACCTACAGATAAGACAACGGACAATAATGAAGATAAAATTAATTACAAGTTTTTTACAATCCCCTTTATACCACTTTTATCAGAAAAGATAAAAAAATTTTTTGAAAAAGAACGCCTTGATACACATATGGCATATAAAGGGATTAATAATTTTAAGGGTTCATCAGAGGTCGTAAAGACGTTCGTCAAACTATTTCACACAGACGTTGTATATAAAATTGATTGTCGAGATAATGAAGCATCATATGTGGGCCAAACAGGTAGATGTTTGACACTACATAGCATTCCGTAATAACAAAACATAGAATTAATCACCAACATAATTTTGAGATTGAGAAAATGTCAAGATATCAGACGAGGAAAAGGTACTTAATAAAAGACTGACTTCGGAAGCGATCCATATAAAGCAACAGAAACAAAGTTTGAATTTACAAAGTAATACATATTCTTTAGACCCACTATATATGAATTTGTTTACAGAATTGTGACGTTGGTTTTACTCTCTTTTGTTCTTATTTTTAGTTTATTTCAATAACTACATGACTTTATTATGTTGACTCTCATCTCTGACTGTCGACATCATAAGATCTTTACGTCGAGTCGCGAGAAAACGCTTACATATAAGTTGATATAATTAAAATTCAGACAAATGATTTTAACAATTCTCTAATTTTTCGTATTTCTTTTGAATGACTACACAGCAAATCTTACAATCTGATGAATAATGTGATTTTATTTAGTGACGCAATGTATATGACTTCGATTTTACTTTATGTAAGTTTTTATATTATTATTGTATAAATTAATATTTTTGATAATCATTGGGCTATTCATTACATAACTAATTTGATATTCGGATAAAGAAGAATGAAGTGAAATTGTCAGGAATCATTAATTTGGAATTTACGTTATTTATATAATTTCGATTTATATTTGATAAGGACCCGAATTGAAGGGTCGAAACGTATATTTTATTCGTTTTGTTACATTCACACGAAAATAAAAAATTTTCTGTGCATCCGAACAGCTGATGTAAGTTCCGATGAGCTTTTTTACATTTTTCAAATAGATTCTTTCGAGACTCATTTTATTTATTTGTAGTACAATATTATCAGTTTTTAACTCTTAATTTTTAACTCTTAACTTCAATTTTTACAAGGACGCAAACTTCCGTAAGGATGTCGATCTTTAATAGTATCTCATGTATCGATGCAATTAACGAATTAAATAAAAATAAAGGAAAAAAGTGATAGACAAAAATATAGCATTCTACTAGCAAAAAAAAAAGAAAAAAGTATGTACAAAAATAACAGCCATAATAATTAGCAACATATATTTTTTATTCATTTATGATCGCAAATCCTTAAGAGCAGGATTGTGCGTAGATTTTAAGATTACGTTTACACGGATTATTTATGTGTTTACGTGATGTTTACATGGTCTTTTGTCACGTAAAGAATATAGACTATATCCCTATAGACATATAATATTATTTAATATTAAGTAATACATAATTTAAGCATATTCTTAGAATATTAAATGTAACATTTCAAAAATATTTTACTAAAATTATATAATATTAAATAATATCCTCAAAATATTAAATTATTTAATAGATAGTTATATGTCTCTATTCCTGATAATGTCATATTATTATTAAAAATAACAATAATTATTTAATGTTACTGTAATATTGTTTAAACATAAAAAAATATTATAATAGCATTTATTTTAATTTGTAAAACTGTTACATTCTATTCATCTATTCAGAATAAGTATTATACGTTTAAAAAAAATGATTTTGGCACGCAGTTATAGTACTGGATATGTAAATCACGCTAAAACATTTTTTTTAACACAAGATAGACTGATAAAAACTTTTCGTTACTGGATTGTGAATTTAAATTGCACTAAATTAAAAATAATACTTATAAATATTTTAATATGTCAGAAATATGAAGGAATATTATGTAAAGGATATTATGTAAGTGAATATATAATCTCTATGGAATATTCTCATAATATTAAAAATTGTTATATGATATTTTCAAAATATTATAATAACTTATTTTAATTTTCTTAATAATATCCATATAACATTCTGGGAATATAATATTTTGCGCTTATAGGGATAGACTATATATTGTGAAATGTATCACTAACATGTTTTATATAATTTAAAAGAATTAAAAATTAAATTATAAAACAGTCTTTACATCCACAAAGTAGAATTGTCTAAAATATATTTAGGGATTCAATAGATTATTATGATGATCTCAACACTAAATTTACCATTGTTGAAGATCCCTACTTTATCCATACTTCATCATACGTTCTCATACTTTTCTTTCATACACATGATAAATTCATGTTTCTTAATTCATATTTTATTCGCAAATTTCCTATAAAAATCGATCTTTGGATACCATTTCTTAGCATAATTTTTATTTACATAACACATTTGTTCATTTCTTGTCTAACTTGTGCAGAGTATATCTTGTACAAAATCTCTGAATAAAGTTTCATATCTAAAAGCTGAATAGACCAGTCATTGATCTTTGTTACACGGCACTTAATCGGATTTAATAACATCC